TTATTAGCCAGGTGTGGTTGGTGCATGCCTGTAATCCCACCTACATTTCTTGAGCCTGGGAGGTCGAGGTTGCAGTGAGCCATAACTGCACCACTGCATTCCAGCCTAGGCAACAGAGTAAGACCCTGTGTTTTTTTTTTTTAAAAAAAAAGAAGAAGAGTACTTATTTCTCCAGACTTTATCATGGTGCCTAGCACAAAGGAGCCCCAAAAAAATGCTTAATAAATCAAAGATTTTCAAATTTAACAGCCTTTGAATTTATATGGCAAAACTGGTTTAAAGACTTTTCCAATTTAAGCAAACTAAAGAGAACATCTAAATAGTCTATTATTAGAAATAGGCCAGGCACTCTGGCTCATGCCTATCATCCCAACACTTTGGGAGGCCAAGGCGGGAGGACAGCTTGAGGTCAGGAGTTTGAGACTGGCATGGCCAACATGGTGAAACTCTGTCTCTACTAAAAAAAAAAAAAAAAGTTATATTTCCCTCCCTCTCCTTGACTACTGCTTCTACGAATTCTGACTACTTTTTCCCAGGAGGTAGAGGTTGCTGTGAGCTGAGATGGTGCCACTGCACTCCAGCCTCAGTGACATAGCCAGACTGTCTCAAAAACCAAACAAACAAAAACTGTATTATTAGAAAGAATGTCTCATATAAAGGCATATGAAAACACAAACACACTTTACACATCTACGTTCAGTGCTGTACAAAAATTAGAGTACCATGACATGCCAGCACTGGCAACCTATAAAACGTAATTTACAAAGTTTCAACTCCTTTCCAACATCTAGATAGGCAGAGTAGGAACATTCTACTGGCTTTGAATGAAAATACCGTTCATCTTCTTGTACTGACAGATCATGTCATTCTCCTCAAAAACCTTCAAAAACTCCCTACCATAGGGAGGTGTCCTAAGAACTGACGGAGGTGTCCTAAGAACTGACACCTCAGCCATAGGTAATCAAGGCTCTCCGCAATCTCAGAGTCCCAGGCTACCTTTACAGCCTCGTCTCCCAAAACCACTTCCCTCACCAGCTTGTTACTGCCTAGTACTTTCTTTTTTTATGCTGTTCCCTCATCCATCTGCCAACATCACCCACCCATCACTGAAGGACTAACTTCTTGGTATGTGATCTCATCTCTAAGCTCACCCCTTCCCCCCACTTTTACCTACTCTAAATATGATTTTTAAAAAATCTAGGCGGGCGCGGTGGCTCACGCCTGTAATCCCAGCACTTTGGGAGGCCGAGGCGGGTGGATCACGAGGTCAAGAGATCAAGACCATCCTGGTCAACATAGTGAAACCCCGTCTCTACTAAAAATACAAAAAATCAGCTGGGCATGGTGGCGCATGCCTGTAATCCCAGCTACTCAGGAGGCTGAGGCAGGAGAATTGCCTGAACCCAGGAGGTGAGCCGAGATCGCGCCATTGCACTCCAGCCTGGGCAACAAGAGCGAAACTCTGTCTCCAAAAAAAAAAAAATCTTCACTTCCGCTTGCCTGTCTTCTCCACTACACTATGAATTCCTAAAAGGCAAAAATCACCAAATCTTATTCCTGGGCATTTGACAAAGTCACAGTGCCTTGCAACTAACAGGTCTTACATGCAATAAATTAGGATAACAGAATACTGTATAGCAGGGTATTATTAGGGTACTAGCAGGGACAAGGAATAGGCATGTTAAACAATAAAATCAATTTTTTAAAATTCAAGATTGAGCCTAATTAAAGCATACACTGTTTCAGTATTAAGCAAAACAAAATTATTAAAATTACTAGGCCAGATATTCAAAACAGAATACTATAAATCAGTTTTCTGTGTGAAATACACAAATTCCTGAAGTAACTGAATTCCACCAGAGAAAATGGAACTCTAATCTAGTTCAACAATTATACTGCAACATGTACCAAGGAAACATTTCTATAGACCACTTTGTATGCAATTTTACCTTTTTCTTTTTGACTAACAAAAAGATGAATTGTCATTTAAATGTAAACTACCAGCAGATCCAGAAACTTTAAGCCTTTCAGCAATGTTCTTTCCAACTTAATTCAAACATGTTAAAATCACAAACTACTTTTAAAACACTGTGTTAGTAAAGCAATGCAAGAGCATGAGATAACCTACGTCCTGACCTTAAGCAGCTGACAACCTAGAAAAGCAGATACACAAGCAATCCTTGGACTATTAGACACAAAGAATAAATGCTACAATAGAGGTACATGTGCTATGAGAGCCCAGTAAAAAAGGGGGATAAAGGGAAATAAAAGGGTAGAGTGAAACGTGGGATTTAGGAGGAGGACCTGAAATTTGAGAAATTAAAAAAGGAAAGATGGCACTCCAGGACGAAGGACGTGAGCAAAGAAACATCAGAGTGAAACACCTCTTCCCCATAATGGGCCCACGATTGGTGATGATTCTAGAATGGCAGAAGCATAAAATTTTTGAACATATGAAGATAGATAGTAGCATATACTTATCGTAGAGCCCTCTGAACTAACCTAGGGAAGTTAGACTTAATTCTTGGAAGAAAGAATGAAGAGTCCCTGAAAATTTTAAAGGTAGGGGTGAAAGATAACGATGTTTACTTCCCCTTAAGATGTGTCTGTACTCGGCCGGGTGCAATCAATCCTAGCATTCTGGGAGGCAGAGGTGGGCGGATCAGGGGGTCAGGAGTTCGCGAGCAGTCTGGTCAACATGGCGAAACCCTGTGTCTACTAAAAATACAAAAATTAGCTGGGCGTGGTGGCGGGCGCCTGTAATCCCAGCTACTCGGGAGGCTGGGCCGGGAGAATGGCCTGAACTCGGGAGGCGAAGGTTGCAGACAGCCGAGATCTCGCCATTGCACTCCAGCCTGGGCGACAAGGCGAAACTCCGTCTCAAAAAAAAAAAAGATGTGTCTGTACCTATGAAAAAGGATAAGCATTAAAAGAAAAAAAAGTCTCAAAACTGCTGTATAACAATCTTTTTTTTTTTTTTTTTTTTTT